CACAGAGGGATGTCCCGACGGTGAGTTCTAAGAGGAGAGTTTTGGAACTTGTTGTCTGACGAACGATATCTGCTAATATGTATAGCAATCGAAATTATGATGTATGTTATTGACTATCTGGCGAACCTCTCCTCTCAGTCCCTGTGCACTCATAGTAGAAGTCACCATTTCAACCCATACCCCACATCACATTCCTGTCGCCACTATTAAGAAGACCAAATCAGCACAAACGTGCGTGTCGCTACACCAAATTTCTCTCGAAGCTTCCAAAAAAATCGTTGAAGCAGTAAGAGCAATTGTTAATGATAACCAATGCTTATCTCTGTCTAATTTCTGTTCCCCACCACTATGCTCATCTGACAAGGAGATGGTCAGAAGTCGAAATGGCCAGTCCAAAAAAGCCACATACCAATAGATGCAGAATAAAACGCTGACTGTAAATCCTGACTTAGTTGTCTTCTAAACACTTTTGTGGACGAAGCTACAAGCCATCAAATCATTTTGCTAAGAAGTCGTGCATGCAAGTGCAAATTCGGCCGTACAGAACTATTCAGCTTAATGCTTCGGCCAAATCATGCAGCTAAGTTGCTTCATGTAGCCCATACCTAAAGGTGAGCTGAAAAGGTAATAATTTGCTCAATTTCGCACTTTTCGCATAGAAATCCTTCGCAGTAAAATTGCTCATAACTTCGCCTACAAAGGCGTTTAGCAGTACGGAAGACAAATTGAAGTTAGCCTTTTATGCTGCAGTGCACCGAATGGTATGCAGCTTGTTTGGATTAAATTCGATTTCTGACCATCCCCTTGCTGGCACTGTTGAGTTAGAGAATCAGTACAACTTAAAAATTTCCCTATAAGACCCGCAGCATTGGACCGTTGTCAATTTCGGACACTTGTCTTTGAACTGCCTCGCGGGACTTGGATGGAGCAAGTATCCTCAAACTTGGGCAATTAAGTTTAATCTGGATAACGAAAAAGCAACAATAAACGCTATCAAACAAATAACAAAATGATATCAGTAAATGAGATCTTAACTATAAGATCTAGTGAACTGAGAGAAGGCATAAATAAGTGATGAGATTGATGTTGAAGCAAGTGGCGAAAGCTGTACAAGCGATTGATTCTGTGCACTTGCCAGGCGGCGTATCAGGATCCTCCAAAGGCCTGCCGCTTCCTCTCCAGGCGCGCCCTTGGGAGGCAATAATCTCTTCGCTTACCTCGCGCTTGTTTCGCACTTGTCTTGCGCATTCTTGCGATAGTTTCCCTCCGGACAATCGTCTTGTTTCTCCTAGCATTAATTAGAGGGTTCACGTGATTCTCCAATGATAACAAGAAAAGGAAAAAAATTGCGGGAACTAATAAAATAATAAAAGCAGACTGACAATGAAAGTGCCTCTTGCCAGAAGTCACTTGGTTGAAATGGCAAGTTAGAAGTTGGTGCATACCAATATATAGAGTTCGAAATGCTGACTTATCTGTGAAGCGTATCCCCAAAGGAAGTTATGAGCTTTTTCGTATTTATTAATGAAAGTATAGCCAAGAAAGAAAAGGCGCGTGGACAATAGCATGGTCGGAAAACACTCGAAAAGGTACGAATAACATTAGAGTATGTACGATGCTTGACAGGTATTTTAATTGAGTTTGCAACGTTTTGGTGGGAATTATTTTGCAGCTCAGGATGCATTCAAATTGGCAATATGAAAAGCTCAAAACTTTCCCAGAAGGAAGCTTCGCAGAAACATGGCACCTAAGAGAGAAGTCAATTGAGAAAGAATTTTCATCAACAATTTTTACTGTGATTCTGGTCCTGCTGAATTACATATCCATTCGAAGCGTCGGTTCCCATTAGGTCAAAAGTTTAGGTAAGCGGGCCCATTTAACTGTCAAGAAATGATGTACAATGTATTTTGAAGTTATAATTTCAAAAATAGCTCATGACTTTACTCCGCTGATAAGAAAGCATGATCAACGTTTTGTTTCTTTTTATCTACCACATCTTGATAGTCACAGCTGAATGTAATAGGTTAACACATAAGTCTTGCAACTATTTTTGTAACTTTCTTTTCAAATGTGATGCATTCATTTTTGAGCATAATGTAGAGTAGGTAGTAGGTAACAAATATTAGGATGATGCAAAAGTTCTTTCCCCCATTTTCAAAAATTCATAACTTCCGATTTTTTTGACCAATTTGGCTGCGTTTATTTTTTATGAAAGAGTACCTCATGCTCTTCATGATGGTATCTTAGCTGCTTGCTAAAGTTCATCTGTTGCATAGATAGGAGCGATAGAAGAAAATTAGCCAAAATTTGAATTTTCTGTGTAGGGTCATGAAAAATCGTAAACTTGCAACGAAAATCGGAGCAGTCTGTATTGTAGGTTCTTTCACCAGTTCTTTCTAACTGTACAAAGTTTGCGCTGATTAAGCGTCTCTATGAAAGGTTATGATTTTCGAGCAAGCAATACAAAAGGGCGAATTTGATTTATTTTGGCATTTTTCAGGGAAATCATAATTTTGATAGAGATGCTCAATCGCCCAAACTTTGCACCATTAGAAAGAGCTGGTAAAAGAACCTACAATACTGACTGCTCCGATTTTTCTTGCAATTTTCCGATTTTTTAAGACCCTACACAGAATATTCAAATTTTGGCTAATTTTCTTCTATCGCTCCTATCTATGCAACAGATGAACATTAGCAAGCAGCTAAGATATCATATGAAGAGCATGAGTTACTCTTTCATAAAAAAATAAAGGCAGCCAAATTGGTTGAAAAAATCGGAAGTTATGAATTTTTGAAAATGGGGGGAAAGAACTTTTGCATCATCCTAATATTAGCTTGTACCGAAAGTTCTATCGTTTCATGTTTGAAAATTTGTAACTTTGCGCTGTTCCAACGGATTTGCTTGCCTGTAATTTTATTAAAAAGAATAAGTCTTTCTCTTTCAAACGCTGTTTTGCAGAGCTTCTGTTTCACATTGGGTGCGGAGATAAAAATGGTAAAACAAAGACCGAGTAAACTTTGTCCATTTTAAGTTAGGTCACCAAAAATCTGGAATGCTGCAGAAAAATCTGAAATCGTCAGTACACATGTTTTTGACCTACCCTTTGCATCTGTGAAAAAATTGTGCTGTTTGGACGTACAGCCGTTCTCAGTCCGAATCAAACATACCAAGCCGAAACCATATTGAGATTGTGAGGAGTCTCTAATGATCTTGTTTCGGCTTGATGGATTTGATTCGTACTGAGAACGACTTTATTTTTGGATTTCTGACATAAAATCTTGATCAGCTTTCGAAAAATGTGTAGATTTACCCCGCTTGGCTAGCAAAAATCAAGCTGTTTGAGCACAATTCTATACTACCTAATCTGCATTATGTTCAAAGATGAATGCATCACAGCCAAAAAGAGAAAAAACGAATGTAGTCGCAAAACTTGTGCAAACCGAATATTTGTCTGTCAATCAGCTTGATTTTCATTTTTTTTGTTTGCTACTGACAAATGGTTGATGCGGAGACCTTTCAGACTACGAAAGCAACAAACTAGGCTAGGTCACCTTAGTCGAGGTAACCTTTCTAGTTACCTCGACTAAGGTGACTTAGTCTTTCTCCGTTTGTTGAATACTGAGAGTTTCACATCTTCACATCTTTTGTCATCGTTGAAAAATCCTCGTTCGACCTCTTCTAATTAATGCCAGGAGGAACAAGACGCTTGTAAGTAGGGAAATTATCGCAGGAATGTGCGAGACAAGTGCGACATAAGCGCGAGGTAGGCGCGAAGGGAATATAGCCTCCCAAGGGCGCGCTTGAAGAACCAGCGGCGGGTCTTTGGAGGATCCTGCACGCCCTCCCACTTGCCAGCTATTTATATGCATGAGGCCAAATCGTCTAGCCAAAGCTGTACACAAATTTATAAATACACCAAAGAAATGGTGGAAATCACTCTGATGCTAACATCTGCACATTCCTATAATAGCAAAGACAATAAGCTACTGAATTAATCTTTGCTGTGCAACTGACAAGGATCACTCAACCACCCCACTCGACAGATGCAGATTATCCTCGATTTTGGGGCAGAGAAGAATAGTATAAATTGCGAAGTTCGTGTAGCCCGTATGCATGGAAATCGTAGCGGCAAAGGGAGCGGCGTCCCTCGTTATGAGGAGGCGGCGGGCATACGCCGCTGCCCCCTCAGACACTCGCTGTTGACTCGCGCAGCCCAAAGTTTTGTGTAAGCGCTGAATGAAGGCGCGACACAAGTAATCGGCCTCGCGAGGAAATCGCGAGACAGCATCATGTGTCGGAACAATGCTGCCCGAGACAACACTTTGACGCGACCACGCATCTTGCAGGAAATACGCGGCAGCTCGAGGGCGACACATCCTGTTGTCCGGACGCAAATGGAGCGCGTTATCTCGCAGTAGTAATTTCGCTTTATCCCTACTTGCTGTACATTACATATATGTATATATTATATGTGTATGTATAAATATACATTATATATATGTATATATATGTACACGCATATATATGAATTCTACAAAGTCTTAACCAATTTATTACTTCTAAAATGGCACAAGGATACTTCGGGGAAGTCAAACTACTATGCTTACTATCTTAAAGCTTCACGATATGGAGATACACGATGAGATAGAAGTGTACTTAGTAACCGTCTAAACAATGAGAATCTCGGATTGCAAATAAGTGATAAGCAAAAGCGGGAGTAGAGTCAAGGCAAATGATATGATAGTGATATGTAAGTACAGCAAATTAGAAAGAATTAGTAGCAGATGGGCTAAAACTTGTCGGGGATGGTCTTTTTTATTTCCTTGAAGCAGGTGCAGGGTGTATACTTTAAGAAAGGAGAATGAGCATTATGTCCAAGAGAAATTCATCAGACACTTCATAAAATTGAGAAACGGAAATTTGAAAAGCGCTTGACGTAGTCTGACAGCTCCTTCTTGTCAACAATACGGAGCACCTCTGCAATGCAGAACAAAAGCTATTAAGATTTGTGTGGTAATCCACTCACTTCCTTTTTTCTCCTCGTCTCCTTTTGCTGCAGCACTGTCAGCCCATTTCCTTCTCCGCAGGGCAAGGAAGCAACCTAAAGAAAAGATAGCTTACATCACAGCAAGACTGGTTTGGCGTGAATGTGGCGTGCCACACCCCACAGCATCGGCAACATCGACGACACCGACAACCTATGGCCGTTCCCACAGGTAGCATGTTGCAACAGCAACAACATGTTAACAACAATGCGTCGGTTGGCAGTTTTGCGTATGTGACATAGGTGGCATAGGTGAGCTGTCGTGGAATGGACGATTTACTATACACCCCCCTCAATTTCTTTTTAAAACAAGCAACACGGTCCTATGTCGTGCATCGAAAATGGTAAGTTCAAATGAGAGTGACTCAAAAAAAACCAAAACATCAAAATTTACGTAAAGAATGGCACTGAAGACATACTATTTACCTCAATGATGCAAACGTCTGGCCTTTCCAATGTGCCATCAACGGGAATCCTGGCCACTTGCTCAACCCACTGGATTACTGCATCCGTAAAATGTGGAATTAAGTGCACCGTCTCTCCGCAGTAGTCGCCAAGTCGCTCACTATCAGTAACCTGTAATTTGAGTTTTTCTTCATAATAGCCTGACATGTTTCAGCATGTAAGTTAAGAACCAGTGAAGAAAATAGGCACCAAAATAAAGCCAAAATTTACATGCTGAAACATATTAGGCTGTTATGGACAAAAAATTCAAATTCCACAATCCCGCTATCACGGAGATAGTCGAGCTTTGATTTCTAGAGAAGAATCTTCAAAATTGGATTTCAAATAAAGTTAATGTTGGATTGGAATGAAATTAATGGGAATAAGAGGGCTTAGGTGGGATGGATGGAATTTGGAAATAGGTAGCAAAAAACCTGGAATGATGCAACATGAGCTGAGATTTGAAATGCGCGTCGATATTGCGAAACTGCTCGCTGAGTCACTCATCATCTCCCGATTTCCTTTCGCGAACAACCGCAAAAGCTGTCAAAATATTGTCTCGCGCATGTCTACGCTCTTTCCCGCGAATCCCTCAAATGGGGCGGATCTCCGGCGCGAGTCAACAGCGAGTGTCTGAGCCTTTTGTATCATAGGAACTCCGCCCCTTCAGGATTTTTATGCATCGGGGCCCAATGCATGAACATTTCTGCCGACCATAGGTGAGACATAGTAAGATGAGTACCCTTCAAAGTGAACATCGGCCGTTTTTGACCTTCAAATGCAAAAATAAACTCAAAGTGCTATTTCGAACGGGGAGTGGGAGGGGAGGGAGGAATATTTGTAAAAATTGCAGTCTTATTTCGTTTTGCCAATTGGAGCTGAGTTATATGTTTAGGCTCTGGCCATTTCATGCGCATCGCGGGCAAGTTTTGGGTCCTGCCGCCATATGGATTGGCTTGTTTCGAAGGCTGGATTGGCTTACCTGTTTCGAAGGCTTATATCATGAGTTGGCAAAGATTTTCAGCATGCAATCGATACGAGGGGTTAAGACTGAACATGACTTGAAAACTTATCATATAACTTATCGACATTCTGGAACATTTAGCCATTTCTAATAGAAACATTATAATTCTTGGTGATTTTAATTTGAATGATGTTGACGGACAAAAATCACTGCTATTTCATCCTCTTCCTCCCGCTTTGTGTCGCTTTTTGTATGTCTAGGGCTCCCACAACTTGTCAAAACTCCCCCCAAAGGGGCTTCGATTCTCGATCTGATATTTGCTAAGGGTGATACGGTCTCCAAAGTTCAGATATATCCCCCATTAGCAAGCGCAGATCATAATATAGTATCGTTTCATATGACGATATGTCTGAGCATGACTACTCTAAAACGGACACCAAATCAGTTAAAAGTGCATTGTCAAATATTGATTGGTTTAGTGTGTTCGATGGATACTCCGACATTGATGATCTTTATAATAGCTTTCTCAAAATGGCTCATGATCTGATTGAACGATATGTCCCTTTCACGCAAATAAAACCTTTTTTTTTACAATATCCGAAGCATATAAAGAAACTTTGGATGCAGAGACTGAGGCTGTTTTTGAACCTTCACAGTCCCATGAACGATAGAGAGTACAAAGCTGTCTCTAAAGAGTTGTCGTATCATTTGAGGAGATACTTAAATAAAAGGAAAAGAGAACGGCCAAAAGAGCTGGTAAATTCAACCTTTGGATCTACTTAAAGAAACATTTAATAGGAAACAAATCTTTTGGTCCTTTACAAGACTCTAATGGCAATGTATACCATACTCCTATCTCCAAGGTGGAAGCGTTGGCAGATCAGGTTCTTCCGTGTTCTCAGAAGCTTTCTCATCATGTCCCATACTTATAAGCAGATCCTCGGATTGTTGCCCCGACCCAAAAATAGACCCTCAAGTCATACAAAAACCATTTGAAAAGAGTGAGCCCAGCTTTGTCCGTTACATCAGACAATATACCACCCATATTTCAAAAGGATGTTTGCTGATGAACTAGCACTTCCCTTATCCCACATATTTAATATATCCTTGATGAACGCAGAAGTGCCTCACCTATGGAAATCAGCTATCATCGCCCCTCTCCCCAAGACATCTCTCAATCCGAAGCTCTCTGACTATAGACAATAAGTATTCTCCCGACACCTTGCAAAATTTTGGAAAGAATATCTGTTGAAAATCTGTTGAGTTGGTTTGATAAAATACAGTTTCTTCCTGAGCAATAACGCGGATTTTCAAAAGACCGATCTACCGGAACCCAGCTTCTTGATGTCCAGTTTGGCTGGACAGAAGTAGTGAGTCGGATTTAAACTATAGATGTGGTCTACTTTGACATGAGTAAGGCATTCGATACAGTGGATCATAAACTTCTTCCGGCTAAGTTAGAGAGCTTATGAATCAGAGGGTTACAACCGAGATAGCTCGAACCATATCATCATGATAGAACCTTTTTTGGTTTGTATTAAGTGAGGTAGACGAAGTGGAATATAGATTCATTCGCACAGGTGACGTAGATTGCAACAGAGAGAGCGATCGAGGCGTCCCGGTGTTAACCGGGGAGGAACGTCTAATACATTCGGAGGCTCCTTATATACGAAGGAAGGCGGAGCCGAACCGAATACAGGGTATAATGTACACGAGTTGGTGCTTGAAAGGAGATGCCGCCGATCGGCTACACTCCTGGCGCTCGGGTACCACTCACTCTTGAGTGATTAGATACTCAAGAGTGAGTAGCTCACCATTTAGCCCACGGGGAATCCGTAGGCTATACAGAATATAGAGTTCATCAATGGTTGATGATACAGAAATCATCACCACCTTTTCTGTTCGTGTACTTGACAGAATTCCGACGACTAGATCGTGCAGATCTGGAGTTCTCCAAGGCAGAATTTTGTTGCCGATTCTCTTTATTTTGTATACTATTGACTTGCCAACCACTCTGATAACAGACCACGTGTTAGGGTTGCTGCGTACGCTGATGATGTTAAAATATATATCGTCGATGACCAGCACGACAAGGTTAATGCTCATGCAGCACTCCGCACCTCAATTTCCCAAATGATTGATTGGGCAGATAGATGGAATATCAAAGTGAATTATTCCAAAAGCTGCACTGTTTCTATTGGCAAAACCCCCTTTCACCCAAATGATAGCTTTGATCTTGAATGCAAGTTCTTGGTCGAAGACTTGGGTGTTCTTACAGATTCTAGATCAAAATATTCATACCTTGGACGAAATCGTATCTAGAAGGACTCGAATACTGTATACGATTTTGCGCACTGTTCAATCCTCTGATCCCGAATTTCTTCTTAGAATCTATAAAACTTTAGTTCTTACAGTTGTGGAGTATTGCAGCTATGTGTGGAATCCTACGTCGAAAAAACATATTGATAAGGTTAAAAAATCCAAAAAATATTCGCTAGGGTAGTTTCCTACCGCGCATTTTCTAACCCGAATTATCCTTACGCGTTACCTGACTATACAATCAGATTACGGAAGCTGGGTCCTAAAACTCTTTTCTACAAAAGGTTTTTGGCAGATGTTTTTATGGCTTTCACAATTCTACGAGGCGAGGTGGGTTTGAAACCCAGTAAATACTGGGTTTTCCAACCTATTAGTGAACGCGGGCCTTCTTTTAACTTGGTTGTTTCTAGGTTTGGAAGGTGCAACATTCGCTGCAACGCAACAACTTCTTTTACTGGGCAGCTTCGATGTCAAATAAGCTTCCACCCACGTTTTTGGCTTTAACTTCGGCCACTCAGTTGAGAACAGCGTTGAAGAAAGTGTATATTCTGTAGTTAATGGGAGTTGAGGATGTAGAGTAACTAGTTTCTGACATTCACTTCATCCTTTCTTTGGCAAGGTCGGCTGCTTACTGTGGTAGCGAGGGCTCTTTCTTCACCCTGCATGTTCATTCGGCTTGTCTTGTTCTATGAATTTTGGTGTACTCTCAAAATTCTACTGTTTCATTTCTCGGGGTTTAAACCAGCTAGCCTCCGCCCGTAGACTCGCTGGCCCTCATGTAAGTGGGACTTCAATTTTGAAAGACATCAAGATTTACAGTCAAGTATTGTCATACTATTTACATTCAGAATAGCTACAGTTTGTCAACTTAGCAAAGAATTATACAAGTTGAATCCGAATGCACAAGAGCCAAAGATACAGTCGAGTAGATTTTCAGCTCAATATAGTGTTGCTGCAGACGCGACAACGCTTATGCGTCAACAAATGCCATTGGGATCCGCCAAGTGACTGTTTTCCACTGTTTTCTTTGTTTATTTTTTGCTTTTTAGTTAAGTCTCTGCTAATAAAGGAGAAAAAGGCAAGTGAGATTAGTCTCTGTTTTCTGAGCAGGATATACCATCGCTTATTCCCGAGTATCTACCTGGAAGGTCTTCGTGTCAGTTTCACGTGTATTTTTTTTATTTCCCTTTCTTTCGTCATTTATTGCCTCTTTAGTCTTATAGCACTTCTTTGAACGCTAATAGATTTGCGCTGCAGCAGCATTTCGGCGCTCACTTATGAAGAAGTAAGTTCTAGTCGAGCAGTTCGTGTGTTAAAGATGATGGTTCAAACGTAAAAGCCTACTAACCTTCAAAAGATGCTTCACAAGAGGAAAAAGGGGTAAAGTTACAAATACACATGAAACTGACACGACTACCTTCCACGTAGATACTCGGGAATAAGCGAGACATAACTACTTGGAAAACAGGAAATACTTTTTAGCTTACCTCTTTTCTCCTTTATCAGCAACGAATCACCCCACAAAGTAAAGAATAAGCAAGAAAACATTAGAAAACACACGGGAGAACTCGTAATGGCATTTCCTGACGCACAAGCGTTGTCGCGTCTGCAGGGGCACTATAATAAGCAGGAAATCTACTCGACTGTACTTCTTCTATTGGAGAGTTCTGTACTTGGTGCAGCTTCCACATCCAAAGATTGGTAGTTAGCTGTTCATATGTGATTCACAAAACATGCTACGTTGATGTATTAGTGTTTGTTACTAACCGCTTTTATGATGATTTAAAGAGCACTTTTAGGTGCATTGAAATAAATCTCGCACTTTTAGCTCCCGTATTTTACCACCTTTCTCTTCTACATTCACTGATGTCTCAAATCGCAAATT